TTTCCTTGTTCAGGGTTTCTTCTTTAAAAAGGTAAGAGTTGGAGGGAGGCAGGCGAGAAGAGACACATTTAAGCCCCTTTTCTATCCAAGTTCATCATTTTCCACGAGTACATCCTACTCAGATGGCTCAGTCAGAGTTGGGGTCGGGAGGCTGCAGAGGGGTGGAGGTCACTTAGAAGGACAGGGCTGAGGGAAGGGTAGCTGACGGCACACGTGAGGAGAGACAAAACCATGGATTTTGTCTGATGCATCTCATTTGATTTAAGTCACTCTATGAGGAATTGTTAGTTTCATTTTATTAATGAGAAAAGTGAGGCTGAGAAAAACTGACCCACAATCTTATCCATTTTCTTTTACTCTGTGCTATTCTTGGGAATATTAATCTCAACATTTTGTGTAAAAGCAGCATGTAAGACTATATATCTATAAAGTGAAGCAAAGTGAAGTTGCTCAGTCATGTTCAACTTTTTGCGACCTCGTGGACTGTAGTCTGCCAGGCGTCTCTATCCGTGGGATTTTCCAGGCAAGAATACTGGTGTGGATTGTCATTTTCTTCTCCAGGGGCTCTTCCTAACCCAGGGATTGAACTTGGGTCTCCCACACTGCAGGCAGATTCTTTACCAGCTGAGCCACAAGGGAAGCCCAAGATACTCAAGTGGGTAGCCTATCTCTTCTCCAGGGGTTCTTCCCTCCCCAGGAATTAAACCCAGGTCTCCTGCATTGCAGGGAGATTCCTTACCAACTGAGCTATCAGGGAATCAGCAGTATATATATCTCTATATATATCATATATCAGCTATATATATATATATATATACACATATACATGTTTATATATATGTGAGTGAGTGAGTGAAGTTGCTCAGTATATATATACACACATATATATATTGACTATAATGATATAAAAGAAAATCAAGTAAAAACATGAGAAAAATATTATTAAATGCTAATATATTATGGTTTTGAGAGGTAGGATACAGGATGCTTTTTTTATGCCTATGTTTTCCATAATACATGATTACTTTTCTATCATCAGCAGCAATAATAGCAACAACAGCAACAAATAAAGGGCATGTATTTCTTTGAAAGGAAAACTGCTTTTGTCTCTTGGGTGACCAACATTCCTCTTGGGAAGGTAGAAGGCTTTTAAGAAATTTATAGAAACAAAGACTGTTTGGCCTTTTAAAAACTTGTTCATTCAAACAAAACCCATAATGAAAAATTTGCCACAAACTCTTGGAGTTTCTATTCAGACTATGTTACACAGTTCCCCACTAGCTATACTGTTAAAAAAAAAAAAGTACATTAGAGTGACTCAACTGAAAATTAAACTGGTAGCCTGATCTATAAAATAGTCTGCAGACCCCTGTGTCCTATGGAAAGCAAATATTTGAATTGAATGTGTTTATTCACAGTGTTGTCCTTCAGCAAGATACTCCTGTGTCTCCAAAATGCCAAAAGATCCAATCAATTCCTCAGGCAATGATAAAGACATTTTATCTATACAATGTTGAACACTTGAACTGACTGAACAGAGAGATTTTTTTGTATTGTGTAGATGGAGCTGAAATGTGACAAATGTGATCACTTAAACTATAGCTCCAGCATCAAAACAACCAATTATAAAGCAAAAGATTTAGTCAATCAGACAATTCTTTTGTCTACACAATTCCAAGTTATTATTTAGAGAAATTTGTTTTATCGATGTGACCAAATATTTAGTTGAATCTGAATAACAGAAAGAAAGAAGATTCTGGCCTGAGTTTTCTGCATCAGAAATATAAGTTAAAGGTAAACAAATCAGCAAACACAAACCTCATACTTGTCCCTCACATATAAATATTCTTTCTATTTCCTCTAAAATGTAGTTCTTCTAAGCTATGCACATTTGACTTTAATTACTTGGTTAGAAAGAACTAGTCCAGACAGAATATTTATTAAAATGTAAATTAAACTTGCCCAAAAGGAAAAAAAAAACATTCAGAGAAAATAGTAGAATCAAATCCTGGGGCTAGAGGAGGTGGAGGTTAGAATCTTTTGAAGATTTAAGAAAAGAACCATTTCAGAAAAGGAAAAAGCCAGACCAGAGGGCCACTGATTTTGGACAACACTGACTCCCCTTCATGGCTCTCATTCCATTCATCGGGAGACACCTCTGTTCTTCCAGACTCAGAACCATCAAATTGTCCCCTCTTCATCCTTTGTATCTGACATGTTCACATCTCACCTCCTCTTTCTTTGAAACCCCTCTCTGGTTCACAGCTTACTTTAAATTCTCTTGATAGAGAATCTTGCCACAATACTTCATGTGTAAATTACTATCAACAGTTTCAAAAGTGGTCCTTCTGCTACCAGTCTCTCAGCCTCCAAACTTCCTCATCCACAGCTGTCAGATTTATTGTCCCCAAACACCACTTTCCTCACTGCTGCCTCCTGCTCACCACTCACACTCTTGGGTGCTCCTGCACTAAGTTCAAACTTCTTCCTTTGCCTGATAGTTGAGATCCCCCACAACCCTTCCTCTCATTCCACTCTCTCCCTTTCTCTCTCACAGATACACACGCACTAGCGCTCCAATCTAACTGTTTGCTGTTCCTCCAAATACTTCATTTTACTCAAGCAAATCACTGCTGTGTGCTTATTTGCCCAGTCGTGTCTGACCCTTTGCAGCCCTGTGGACTGCAAACGCCAGGCTCCTCTGTCCATGGGGATTCTCCAGGCAAGAACACTGGAGTGGGTTGCCATGCCCTCCTTCAGGGGATCTTCCCAACCCAGGGACTGAACTCAGGACTCCCGCATTGTAGGCAGATTCTTTACCATTTGAGCCACCAGGGAACCAAATCGTTGCATGCTATAAAAATTCCCCCACAGTACACTGTCCTGGTCCCCTCTCCAAATCCATACCATTCTCCTTCCAGCCATATCCTCATGACAACCCCAAATGCTCTGAACACAATTCCAAAGGCCCTAATTATTAAAAGTTCAAGAAGTTGCCAAATCCTATACACACCTGTTCAACCAATGATCTTTGTTTAAATGGTGCATGTATAAAGAATAAATCTATTTATCTTACAGTTGCCAACATATTAACAGACTCAGAATGAGGCTAATTAAATACTCAGATGAACCTACTTTAGGTGTCCTTCATCAGGTATTTCATTGAACCCTCACACCAATCCTGGTTGCTATTTATCCTCATGCTTAAAGATGAAAAAACTGAAGCTCGAAGAGTTCTGCTTACTCAGGGTCATACATCCAAGCTTATTAGAACCCAAGAATTTTAAAACCCAGGGTTTTTTGGAGCCAAATCTTTGGCTTTTTGTTTTACCACTCAGCCTCTATGAGGACAGCCTATCTGTAACAGCTTTGAAATATGAATGTGAACATGTAACACAATTAGCAATTTAAAGCACATTATTAATGCTGATAGGTACTAATGACTGTAATTGAAAGGGAAGACATTAGACCAGACAAACAATTTTTTAGAATTTATAACAAGAATATAAATGAGTCTAATGAATGAATTTACTTCCTGACCTTCTTTGCTACAGACATTAACCCATGTTTAGTCTCTAATTGAGATGTACATATTCTTTACTCTCTTATTGTATTTGTTAATGTTTGCCTTGGCAGATGGCCAACAGACCTCTTTAAGTTTCCCTTAATCAAGTTTTGGGTAATAGATGGCCAAATATGCCTTGTATTAGGTAGCACTGCTAGATCCAAAGCAGCAGAAAGCTAAGAGCTGGCAATAGTTTCTCAAGTCTTTCCTATCATCTAGGCACCTTTAATAATAAATGTTATATAAATCAAATGTCATGATATCATTTAAAATGTTGTATATATTTCTTTTTAGTGATAGTTCATTATTTATTTCATGCATGCCTAAAACACCACTATTTATTAGTAACTTATTTTACTATTTGCCCAATGTTCAATACAATTCTTCATATTTCAGCAAATCCAGAGATTAGGAAGTGATAGTATGGATGATTCACCTGCATACTTTAAAAAGTACACTCAGTTTCTGTTTATGTACATAGGAAGAACTTAATTCCTACAGGATCAAAAAAAAAGAAATAAAGAAAATTCAACCTATTTGAATGAGCAAGTCTTGCTGATCACCTCTTCTTTTTTCTGTTTAGAAAGAAAAGGATCTGAAAGTCAAGTCTCTAGATAACTTAGATGTGTATCTATAGGTAAACGTGCACATGATATAAAAGTATTCCTGCACTGTCTTATAAACTATATCTACTGAAACACAGTTACACTTCACTCATGTAAAACCACTATTCAACCACAAGCACCTGAGCATTCAGGTGATCTGAAACAGCTATGCTTAATAGGAAAAAGACATGTGAAAAATACAATCATTCTTTGTAACAAATTAAGCTTGGTGTTAGCCTTTTATCAGTACACTTCCTGAGCAGAGTGCATTGTGAGCCTCTACATGCTGGGACATTTTGTAGGGAGCTGAAGGAGAAAGTGATAGAATCTTTCTCCACTAAGACTGAATAAAAAAAAAAAAAAAAAAAAAAAAAAAAACAGTCCAGGAACCCCTCTCAGTTTCGGTACTGTTTTGACTCATCTTTTCTCAAACTATCTTGTCAAATATTTGTCAGACGATAGAGTTCTTCAAAATATCCAGCTGCTCCCTATAGGAGGCAGAAATGGCCTAAATATATTGATAACATTTCTCAAAAAAGCCAAACATTTTAAAGTTAGAATTCTAGGGTTTCAGTTTATATTTCCTTATATTTTAATAGCACACCAACTGGTACCTGCTGGTGTGCTGTCAACATTTCCCCGTCTATTTTTAGATCCTCACTTGTTTTAGAGATGGATTTAATATGTAAATCAGAGGCTTACACCACTGAAACGTTTGTATGATTGTGTTTTAGTTTTGCCATCAGCTAAGTAGGGCAAAGTTGATCCTATCTCACAAGGAACTCTCTCCCACATTTCCTCTGTGAACTCAGAGGCTCAGATTTGCTTACCTGCTTCCTTGAAGATACTGTGCTGTTGAAATATCTATTAGAGGTCTTTGAATTCAAATTCTTATTCTGATGGGTCGAGTCGTTTTTCCACGTGTTAGAGTTTTCTTTAGGATCTGAAGGAATGGGATTTAAGAAGAGGATCCTAGCTATGAATCCATAGAGGACAGTGGCTAGGATCATTGGTACAACATAAAAGACCCCAAAGTCCATCAGGTAAATAGGTGAGTAGTAGTTCCTAGAGATCTTGTAGCCACAGGACACTACAGTAGCATCTTTATAGGTGCTAACATTGAGATCCAGCAGGAAGAACCAGAGCATACAGTAGATGGATGTGAAAGCCCAGACGAAGATGATTATCTTTTTGGCTCTGGAAAATGTGCACAGAAACTGGGCTTTGATGGGGTGACAGATCGCTATGTACCGCTCAATGGTGAAGGCTGTGATTGAACAAGAGGAGGCATTAATGCCCAAGTACTGGAGGTAAGTTATGCAGAGGCATCCAACGTAGCCATAGACCCAGGAACCGTAGATGCTGTCCGTTATGTTGGGGAGGCCTGCGGCCACCAGGACCATGAGATCAGCTACTGCCAGACTCACCAGGTAGCAGTTTGTGGGGGTCCTCATGTGCTTGGTCCTCATGACCACCAGAACTACCATGATGTTGCCCACGATGCCCAGACCACAAATTATGAGCACAAGTAAGATGGTGACCACTTGGTATTCGAGGGCCACCACAGCTCGCGGCTGAAGCTGAGTTTGGTTCAGTTCACTTCCCGTCTCGTTTTCCATCTTCAGTGGCTTGAGGTTTCTCTGGGACACTTCTCAACACATCTTCCTTCTGGTGCCCTGCCTTTACCACAGTCGTTCTCTCCCCCTGTGAAGAGTTATAGTCCATATTCATTCACAGAGTCACAGTCACTTACAGGTAATTCTTACGTCCTCCCCTTTCACCTTCCATTTTTCTCCAGTAATAGGGCTCATATATACTCCTGAAAACTCCTCTTATTGAAATCTAGAGAAGGATGGAGTAACAGTTTTATCCACCTTACAATAAGAGGGACTGGTTTTTTCTTAATGGACAAAAATGCTCAAGAAAAGAGACACAGAAAATGCTCCCTGTTTTGAAAGAATCCTCAATGGGGGGGTGGGGGGGAAACAATATCAGCTACCTGAAAAATAAATACAAAGAAATCTCTCAGATGCTTGGGGAAAGTAAAATAAAGAAGAAAAAGATACTAGGTGGGGTGGGGGGGGCTGTGGGGGGAAGCCAAAAAGCTTGACAGAAAATTAGCATCTGCCTCCTTGGCTCTCAGAGGGTGAGATCCCTCTGCTACAAAATAGCAAGCCTTCCCAGGCCCCCTGCCTTGCAGACCCAACAGAGAACAATTTCTCCTCTTACCTTTTCCTCTGTAGCACTGCCTCTTCTTCCAGGTAGATGGAGCGGCAGTAAGTGTGAGTTTCCAGCCTCGCAGACAGCCTCGTCCACTTTGTTTGGCAGGGAGACCACTTAGCAGGGCTCCGTCTTCAGAACTGCGGTTCCTCTAAACCCTCACAGCCTTTCCAACTGATGCCAGACCATACAGCCGCAGCAGGAGCAGCAGCAGGAGCAGCGGCACAGAGCCTGGCAAATCATAGAGCGTCCCCTGATGAGAACATGCTCGGCTCTCTGTCTCCCCCTCCCCTCTCACACACACGCCCCACACTCACACTCACAAAGGCCAGTCAGTCCTCACTGATGCATCATCTCCCCTCTGAGGATTTGCTTATAAATGTGCTAACGATACAGTTGTAATCTGGAAGGCTGCCGGTGCCAGCCAGGGGGTTTGAAGAAGCTGGTCTTATAGTTGTTTATAGTCTAAGTTTTAGAGGAACTCAGGCACCTGGGTAAAGTCTCACTCCCCAGTGGGATAGGACTTAGGGAGAGCGAATCCATCTCAGTCCAGACACAGTCCTTGAAGCTTGAAATATCTGTCTGGGCTGAGAGCACACTTTTTTCTCTATGATGGAAACCTGACGACTATTTCTCTGGTGAACCAGTGAAGTCGGCTCCCTTCTCTCATGGCATATGAATGGAAAATGAGTTAAAATTGATTTCGAGCCATTTCAGCTGCAATCTTCTGAGGCTTATACAGATCATTTTTTAAAACCCATTTGAGATAAGAACATTGATTTAAACCTACATATGATCTGTGAACTTTGTTTTTCAACTCTGTTTTTGCATCACTTACTAGAATCTTTCTAACTGCCCTGGAAACCTCTCTCCTCTTCATGCTCCCTCTGGACTACCAACCACATGTACTACCCAGCAAGGTTCTGTGTCAATTTATTTCTAGGTGGAAAACATACCCAGTGGAAATATGAACCAGGGCCACTCTGATAACACACCTCTGAAACAGAACTATATAAGCCATCTTTTTTAGAAGAGTGTACTTCACCTTGATTTTTATTTCTCTAAATTAGCCTGGGAAACAGTGGAAACAGTGACAGACTATTTTTTTGGGGTTCCAAAATCACTGCAGATGGTGACTGCAGCCATGAAATTAAAAGACGCTTGCTCCTTGGAAGAAAAGTTATGACCAACCTAGACAGCTTATTAAAAAGCAGAGACATTACTTTGCCAACAAAGGTCCATCTAGTCAA